CTGCCTCAGCCTCAGCCTCAGCCTGCCTCAGCCTCAGCCTCAGCCTCAGCCTCAGCCTCAGCCTCAGCCTGCCTCAGCCTCAGCCTCAGCCTGCTTCAGCCTCAGCCTGCCTCAGCCTCAGCCTGCAGCCTCAGCCTCAGCCTCAGCCTCAGCCTCAGCCTGCAGCCTCAGCCTCAGCCTCAGCAGCCTGCCTCAGCCTCAGCCTCAGCAGCCTCAGCCTCAGCCTCAGCTTCAGTTCAGCCTCAGTCAGCCTTCAGCCTCGGCCGCAGCCTCAGCCTGCTCAGCCTCAGCCTGCATCAGCCTCAGCCTCAGCCTCAGCCTGCCTCAGCCTCAGCCTGCCTCAGCCTCAGCCTGCCTCAGCCTCAGCCTCAGCCTGCTTCAGCCTCAGCCTCAGTCTGCCTTCAGCCTCGGCCTCAGCCTCAGCCTGCCTCAGCCTCAGCCTGCCTCAGCCTCAGCCTCAGCCTCAGCCTGCCTCAGCCTCAGCCTGCCTCAGCCTCAGCCTCAGCCTGCCTCAGCCTCAGCCTCAGCCTGCTTCAGCCTCAGCCTCAGCCGCAGCCTCGGCCGCAGCCTCAGCCTGCCTCAGCCTCAGCCTGCCTCAGCCTCAGCCTCAGCCTGCCTCAGCCTCAGCCTGCCTCAGCCTCAGCCTCAGCCTGCCTCAGCCTCAGCCTCAGTCTACCTTCAGCCTCGGCTTCAGCTTCAGCCTGCCTCAGCCTCAGCCTGCATCAGCCTCAGCCTCAGCCTCAGCCTGCCTCAGCATCAACCTGCCTCAGCCTCAGCCTCAGCCTGCCTCAGCCTCAGCCCCAGCCTGCCTCAGCCTCAGCCTCAGTTTGCCTTCAGCCGCCGCTTCAGCCTCAGCCAGCCTCAGCCTCAGCCTGCCTCAGCCTCAGCCTCAGCTTGCCTCAGCATTCAAGATGTGGCCCAGGAGTGGAGTTTTGGGAACTCGAAGAACACGAAGTGGCCTACAGTTGGCTCCGGGCATTCAAAATCATGCCCAGGAATACAATTCTGGGAACTCGAAGACCACGAATTGGCCTACAGTTGGCTCTGGGCATTCAAAATTATGCCCAGGAAAGGAGTTCTGAGAACTCGAAGAACACGAAGTGGCCTACAGTTGGCTCCGGGCATTTAAAATCATGCCCAGGACTAGAGTTCTGGGAACTCGAAGACCACGAAGTGCGTTACCTGTGGCCAAAAAAAATCCCGGGCACCCGTCCGGATCCTGCCCAGACCCCCTGGGGCGTCAAGATGCTCTCTTTTGACACCACTAGAAACCTATCAGTCTTCGCTGGTAAGGGAAAAGCCAGCGCGGCGTTCGCATCCTCCTCGATGTCCGTGGAAGCTCTTCGAAGTGCCTCGGAGTCCCGAACAAACTGGGTGGCCCGCGGATTCGCGGACGCAGCAAGATGGCCCCTCGAGGTGGCCGCGCTGGGCCCCGTCTGTTTCTCGGTTTTCCTGTCGCCAATGAAGGGGGGCCCACTCGCTCATGTGCCTGGAGGGGTCGATGGCCCACTGCTGATGCCGCCGAAGCCGACGAACCCGAACCTCGACCTCGGGCTGGGGTGCCTTCCAGCACCTCAGGACAACCTCCGAAGGGATCGAGCGAGCGCGGCCTCCTGCCCAAGACGTAGCCGCCCCCCGTCATCGCTATGCGCCCACAGAAGACCACGCTGGCAATGAGCTGGTCGACCTGGCCCGGGGTGGGCAGGGGCGCCCCGCGGGCTGGATAAGCAGGACCCGTGACCCGGACATGAAAAACCGCGCGCCTCTCGGCGCGGGCGACGCGCGCAGAACACCGACACTTACCCATGGAATAGATGCCCGAGGAAACCGCGGACATCCCAGAGATGAGCTCGGGCCGAAAGGAACAATTGCCCACGGCCTGGCCCCTGGGGCAACGCGTCGCATCAGCAGGGGCCCCAGCAAGCGGAATCTGCGTTCCAATCGCCCCCCGATGGCGAGCGTGCAAACCTGCGCCCACGAACGACTGGAGGCTGACGTTCTGGGGCGGGTGGCAGGCGCAGCCGCGGCGGCGCAGCTCGGCAGACAGCGGCAGGTCGCAGGCCCGAGACCAACGGTAAAACTCACGCGCCGTCTGATCCTCTACGACTCAATTTTCAAATCGCGTCGTCGACGTAGGGGTGAAATGCCGGGTGCCGAATCAGATCTTCGCCGTCATAGCGCAAGCAGAGCTGACACCAAGTAGCCGTCTTAGGGCCGCGACCCTCGAACTGCTCCTGCACTTCTGCACGCGCCGTGCTGATGTCCCTGGCCGAGACCTTCACGGCCCGGGGGTCGCCGACCATAACCCCCCCGCTGGGCCGAACACCAATGACACCAAACATCACTGTAGAACAAAAGAAACCTTTTGCCGCCCGAAAGCCACGTGATCCCGCCCCATTGTACTTTCATTCGCTTCTGCCAAACTGTTCCCTTCCGTCGTGGCAAAGGCGTTGGAAATGTCCTTCAAGTCCGCGACGTGGTTGATGCCGAGGTTGCGCAACTTCCGCGTGCAAAGCAGCTGGCCGAGGATAGCCGCCTCTCTTCTCCGGCTTGGGGCGCAACCATGGGCAAAGAGCGGCTCGACGCGCATATCGGCAGGGCCGATCGCCGTCGCCATGAAGCCCTCGCCGAAAGGGGCCGCGGAGATTAATGGCGCGTTTCCATGTTAGCGGCACTCCTCGGCTCAGGCGCCACGCCGGCGGCATCTGTCCAGATCTGCGAACCCTGCGCCTGGATGTCGCGAGAAACCTGCGCGCGAACATCGTCGTGACATGCGGCGGCGAGGGTGTAGAACCATCCGCCAGAGATCTAACGGTGACGACCATGGCGGGCAAGCGCGTCGCCTGGGTGCTCGTCGTAGCCGTCTGCGTATCTGAAGAATGCGATGCGTTGCTCAAACCAGTGCCTCCTCTGTCCGCGGCGCCAAGACATGCTGGGCCTCCTGGCCCGTGACCTCGTTGTAGATGTAGCCGTGGGCCTCCTTGACCCAGTCGATGTTGACGGCGGCCGTGACGCCGCGTCTTGCTGGTGGTATCCCCGGCGCTCGGCAAGCTCCTCTCCTGTCGGTAAAGCAACTGGCGCGCGCCGATAGTCGCGCTTCCTGGGCCGAAAAATCGAGCGACCTCGGCGCGTCGTTCGCGTCGGCGCGCCTGGTTTGTCGCCACTGCTTCCAGTGCTGCCACCTGGCAGAGCGCGACAATTTAGCGCGGCATCTGTGCCGCCGCTGAACAGCTGGCAAGGCAGGGCGCAAACTGTCGTCGCAATCGCGATCCGATTTAATCTCACGCTGTCCAAGTAGCCGTCGGACCGCCCGCTGTTGATCGAGCAAAGGTAGGATAGCAGCCGCTACAGTGCGACATCCAGGTCGGTGCCCGGGCGCCTTGGCGAAATACTTGCTGCCGACTGTCATCATTGCGTTCGTCAGAAACCCCGGATCTGAATTTGGCTACTGCTCGCCACGACGAATGTGCTGCCACTCTTCCGAATGCGTGCGCACGTGCGTCTCGAGTTCCATGAGAAATTCGGCCCGTCCCTGTCCGCGGCGCAATGATCCCCGATGCCTCTCGGTTCCAATGAATGCGCAGAGGTGCGTGGCCTAGACGTGCCTGCTCCGCCATGTCGCAATGGATGTGGGAGCCCGCGGTGCTCGCTATAGAATACTGCAAACAGACGTGCGCTGGTACATGGTCTCCTGCCTAGCGCGTGCCAATCACTCGTAGGTGTCGGCCGAGGTGGCGCACGGGGCCCGCTGAGGCACGTCGCCAAGAAAGGTCTGGGGCATGAGCAGGAAATCTGTCCGCGAGGCGCTCTTAGGGCCGAAGAACGTGGGGCCGTGCCCGACGATGGCGTTGACCGCCACCAGGCCGAGCTCCTCCATCAGCGGGAGGATGCAGTCCACCGCATAGCGCTGCTTGTCCTGGGCCGAAGGGCCGACGACGCCGGACTGCGCGGCGCGCCAAGTCGTGTCCCCGTCCTTCTGCTGGTAGCCAGACCCCGAAGTCAAGCCGACGCAGAAAATGGGCAACACGCGCTTGGTGCGCAGAAGTGGCAGGGGACGCATCCGTGTAGCCAAGGCGTCGCAGGTGAGACGGTAGATTTCCGCGCTAACCCCCACTGACCCCGACGTCATAAGTAGCAGATCGTGCCCTCAATGCAGGGCCACGGCCCGACAGCGAAGCGGAGGGCGTCCAGGCGTGCGTGACTGAGCCCTTGCTGATCTTGGCCCCGAGAACGATGCTGCAGCCCGTGCTCTTGTTCGTGAACGGTCGGGCCCGCCCACTTTCCAAACACCAGTTGTGGTCGCCAGCCTTGCGCCAGCGCGCCTCCCAGGCCTTCTCCCTGCCGAACCCTCTGGTGGTAGTGCCGTTCAAGCACACGAAATCGTACGCCTTGCATGCCTGCGATATCGATGTGAGCCGCTCACCGCTGGAAGCGTGCATCGGGTTGTGCTGGAACGCGCGCAAAGCGTCGCCCAACCATCTCGCAGACGAGCAGGAACCAGCAGCCCACACTGAAGCATCTAGAAGCCATCGCGAAGATTGCCAGATTTAAAGGTGATGTCTCGGCAGGGAGGCATGTAGAGTGTGGGGGGCTGGGTGCCTGTCGCCCTGGGCATCTGCGCGGGCGCTCCTGACCCAGATGCCTTAGGAGGAAGAGAAGGAGGAGGAGGAGGAGGAGGAGGGGGAGGAGGAGGAGGAGGAGGAGGAGGAAAAGGAGGAGGAGGAGGAGAAGAAAGAGAACGAACACATGTGGCACAGACAACTAACTGCACATGCCAGGAAATAGGTGCAGCTGCCACTACGTAAACAAGATATATCTCTCCCTCTCGATCTCAAGTGTCCTACCTACCGCAACGCCGCTCGTGCACTTCATTTGCTGAGGTGCGTATGGCTCTCATGGGCACTCCGAACACTCCACTGCATCCAGGCACGCACACAAACAACTGCCAGCACACATGTCACCATGACCAGGCGCGAGCGAGAAGCGAGGCCGCGGCTGTCCAGCATATAGTGAGTTTACCATCGATCAGGTAGGTGCAGTTGGGGCAGTTCCAATCGCCAACAAGTACCGGACCAAGCAGCGGAATGCTGAGGGCGCGTCGCGTGCGCACCCGCCACCGTCGCCTCCTGGCCTACCGCTCATCCTGCTGCTGGTTTTGCCAGCTGTCGTTCTCTCCCGCTTGCTGGACAGTCCGCCTTCTCCCTGCCCCTACTTCTCTGACTGCAGTACAGTGGCCGTGCTGCACGCAAAGACGACGCATCCGGAACCGAGGTGCTTTTCTGGCCACGGCGAGCCCTGGTCACGAAGATAGGCTCACCGACAACCAGAGCCCGACAACCAGAGCCCCTCAAGGGCCCACAGTGCACCTCATGTCAGCTTTTTTGACTGCACAATGGATCGGTCGACCGAGGGATGGGGCCGGGAGCGATTACAGTGGAGGTCGGTTTAAAAGGAACCACTCACAAGAAACTCAACCCTGAGACCCCAGGACGTCCACTGATTTTTGGCGTGGGAACGTCACGCTTTTCACTGCAAAACCATCGCAACCCAAGAAACCCAGGGCACCCTGCAGGCAAGCATGGTGTTTCTTGGCCTGGGTCTCCACTGTACCCGGACTTGCCGGAACCGCCCGCGGGGGCCCGCGAGGCCCAGGCTGGCCCCCGTGGGGTCGACGCCGAAAAGTAGGAGCAGGGTTGATGAGGAAGCTGGGAAGCTCGATTCCCCTACCCTTCTCCTCTTCTCGCTCCCCGTCCTCCCCCTCCTCCTCCTTTTCCTCCTCCTCCTCATTTTCCCCCTCCTCCACCTCTTCCTCCAACTCCTCCTCCTCCTCCTCATCCTCCTCCTCCTCCTCCTCCTCCTCCTCCTCCTCCTCCCCCTCCTCCCCTTCCCCCCCCTCCCAGAAGCTGGAAGCTAGAAGGAAGCTGGAAGTCAAAGGCTGGCAGCTCGAAGGCAAGGGAAGTCAGGAAATGGCCGGGGCGGGAAATGTTTTATGGGGATGGCTGGACACGTGAGCCGAACCAGCGGAATTATTCTGACCAGGGCTTGAGCAAGCGGAGGGGGGCATGCCAGGGCTGGAAACTCGGCAGTGAGGGCGCACACTGTCCTCTGCAGAAACAGTGCAAATCCTTCCCCTCCTCCAGATCTATGTCATCCTGCTCCTCGTCCTCCCTCTTCCCTTCCTTCCTTCCTTCCTGCTTTCAATCCTTCCTCATGTTTCCGTTTCTCCCCCCGTCGCCCCATCCGCCAACTCCTTTTCCTCCTTCACCTCCTCCTCCTCCTCCTCCTCCTCCTCCTCCTCCTCCGCCTCCTACTCCTCCCTCGATTATGCTTGTCCCCCCTCCTCCACCCAGCCTCACTGTCCCCCCCCCTACCACCCTCCGAATCATCTGCGCCAACCTGGGAATCCCAAATATTCCTTTTTAGAAAATCGGAAAATCCCTTCGGACATCTACTGGAATCCTCTGGGCGTCTACAGAATTTCCGGGGAAGTCAACGGGGGCCCTCCGGGCATCCATGGGGCGCCTTGGGAGACGCACGAGATTTCTCGGGAAAATCATCGGATTCCGCAGGAAGCCCACGCGAGTCCTTGGGAAATCCTTGCGACCCCTGCGGGGATCCATCAGGTCCCAAGGGGAATCCATAGGAAATCCTTATGGCAATCCATCAGATCCATGAAAACTTTTCTGAGCATCTATGAGGCGCCTCAGAAAATCCATGGGATTTCATCGGACATTCAAAGGGCCCCTTAGGCAGTCCGTAGGAACCCTTAGGACATCCGTAGGACCCCCCCAGGAAATCCATCGGACTCCATAGGACATCCATAGAGTTCACATCCACTTGACTAGTTAGGAACTTGATCGGCGTCCTTAAAATATCCATACAATCAATCAGAGAGCCCACTTGAATTGAAACAATTCCATCCGATTCCGAGGGAATTCGTTAGGATGCCTGAAGATATCCACCGGAATCCATCGGACACCCATAGGACCCCGCAAGAAATCCAAAGGATTCTCCGGGAATTCATGGGGCTGCTAAGGACATATATAGGAATCTTTTTTATAACAAAGAAAAGGAGCCCGTAGAAAATCCATTGGTTGCTGCAGCGTGTGTTTCTCGCTGCTGTCTTGCTGTTGATGCTGGTGCAGGTAGCCTCATGTTGTTAGCTCGTGTCGCCTTCTTCTTATCAGCTAGTGGTTGTTGGCTTGTTGCGAGATTGTTGTCAGCTCCTCGTTAGCCCCTTGTTGTTGCAGTGGTGTTGTTAGCTTATCGTCGTTAGTTTCTTGTTGTTGCTTGTGTTGTGGTTGTGCTAGTTGTTGTCGCTGTCGTCGTGATGGTTGATGGTGCTGTTGCTTGTTGCTGTTCCTGTTGCCGTTCTTTGCCTGATGATTTTTTTGTTCGTGCTGTTCTCGTTTTCTCCGCTACGCCGCGGCCCGGGCGCTCGGTCACAGCTCCCAGCGGCTCGACAGCCGGTGGAAGGACGCCCCCGCCATGGCCTCGGCGCCCTCGTCAGGAACGGCCACCGGCGAATCCTGACTCGCTGGCGCCAGGTCGCCTTCGATCTCCGCGAGCTGGGACTGGGCGACCTGGGGCCTGGACTCGACGACGTCGAGATCTCGAAGATGTTCTCGACTTGCATCTCCTCGAATTTGCTGTTCTCGACCTTGCTGTTCTCGAGCTGGCTCTTCTCGACCCGGCCGTTCTCGAGCTGGAGCCCCTTTGGCGGCTCGGGGCACCTGCCCCCGAGCAGCTCGGGGTCGCTGTTTCCGAGCTGCTCGGCGGGCGGCTTGTCCATGAGCCCGCCGTGCTCGGCCTCGCCCTCGGGCTCGCTCTCATTTGCGGGGGCCTGGGCTCGGGCGTCCTCGGAAAGGACCTGGGCCTGGGCGGCCTTGGCCTTGCCCTCGGGCACGATATTCTTGACCTCGCTCTCCTTGTGCTCGCTGCTCTGGTCCTGGAACTGCTTGTCCCGGAGCTCGATGCCCCCGGGCTGTTCCTCTCCGACCTGTCTGTGCTCGACGGCTCTGCCGTCCTCGACGGGCGCCTGGGCCTGGGCGCCCTCGTCGCCCAGGCCGCGGCCCTCCCGCCTTCTCTCGCTCCTGCTCGATCGTGATCTCGAGCAGAAACACCTCGCCACGGCCGGCGACCTTGCCGCGGGCGCCTGGCAGGAGACCTCGCTCGGCCCGGGCCTGGCCGCGACCGATGACTGGGATATCCCCGCTCGGCTCGGGGATCGAACGTTAATTTGAACCAGACTGGATACGCAGTTGTTGCTGTTGCTGTTGCTGGTATTGGCGTTGCTGTTGATGAATGCTGCTGGTGTTGCTTTTGTTGTTGTCGGTGTTGTTGCTGTTGTTTCTTGATGTTGGCGCGATGTTTACTGTTGTTGTTGCTGTTGCTGTGGTTGATTGCTGCAGTTGTTGCCGTCTCGCGGCCTGGGTCCGACGACGGCAACGACGACGGTCGACGATCGCCTGGGCTCGATCCTCGATCCTCGGATCGAGGACCCAAGATCCTCGAGTCCAAGCTGGGCGATCCTCCGATCTAAGATCTGAAGTGCTCGAAGATGCTCGGGTCCAGGATGGAGGGCCCTCGATCCAAGAATCGAAGATCGAGCCTCTTCGACGGCGGCCTGGCCCCGACGACGGCGACGAGGGCGATCGACGAGCGCCTAGGCTCGATCCTCGATCCTCGGATCGAGGAACCAAGGCCCTCGAGTCCAAGCCGGGCAATCCTTGGATCTAGAATCCGCGGAGCTCGAAGATGCTTGGACCCGGGATGGAGGGTCCTCAATCCGAGATCGATGATCGAGCCTCGCCTATGGTGGCCTGGGCTCGACGGCGGCGACGATCGCCGAAGCTTGATCCTCGGGTCGAAGATCCAAGATCATCGAGTCCAAGCTGGGTGATCCTCGGATCGAGGCCCCGATGTGCTCGAATATTCTCGGATTCAAGGTCGACGGCCACCGATCCGAGAATCGAAGATCGCGCCTCGTCGGTTGCGGCCTGGGACCCGGCTGCGGCGACGAGAACGGTCGACGATCGACGACGCTCGATCCTCGATCCTCGGAGCGAGAACCCAATATCCTCGAGTCCAAGCTGGGCGACCCTCGGATCTAGGATCCGAGGTGCTCGAAGATGCTCGGACCCATGGTGCACGGCGCTCGATCCGAAGATTGAGATCGGGCCTCGTCGATGGCTGCCGGGCCCCGACGACAGCGACGTCGACGGTCGACGAGCTGCGAGGCTCGATCCTCGATCCTCGATCCTCGGATCGAGCATCCTCTATCTTGGATCCCAGCTGGGCGACTCTCGGATCTGGGGTCCGAAATGCTCGAAGACGCTCAGATCCGCGATCTAAGATGCTCGATCCGAGGGTCGAGGATCAAGCGTCGTCGATGGCGCGCTCGACGCTTTTTACTCGGCGAGGAGGGCCGCGCACGAAACGCACCCCTCTCGGGGAATTCCTCTTGGGGGAAAAAAAAAAACTCGAGGGCGCCCGGCTCGGGGCGTCCGCGCGCCAAGCGCTCGCCTCGCCAGCCCTCGCGCGTCCGCCGCTCGCCGCCTCGGGCGCGCTTCGCGGCCGACCCCTCGCCCCCCGGCCCCCTCCCGGCCTCGGCCTCGCTCTTCGCGGCCGCGTGCTTGCTTCGCGGCTCGGCGTGCTCATCGTCGACCTCGGTGGTGGCTGGGAAGAGTTTATGTCGGCGGGCATCGACGGGCGCGCCGTCGCGCTCGGTGCGCCCCCCGCTCACTTCTCGTCAAGCTTGCAGCGCTCGCTCATGCATTGGCCCCGGCCAATCTCGCGCGACTTGTCGGCGGACCGTTGGACGCGCCAGCGCCGCGTGACGATGCGCTCGGTTGTCGCCAGGGCCAGCGCGCCGCGCTCGTCGCGCAAGTTCACAGACTGCTCGACCGCCTCGTCGACGCGCTCGCAGGCGTCGGCCCTGCGGGAAGCGCCCTCGCCGAGGATGTCCTGGGCGGGCTTGAGCTCTCGTTGAGCGGCGGCGCCAGCT